GGGGGGGGGGGGGGGGGAGAAAAGCCGTTAAAATACAGGAGGTGGTACTCATCCTCCCCGGATACGACAGAATCAAACAGACAGACGACATACTTCAGCTCTCATATATCTGGGTCCCTCTTAAACCGTACTGAAATATTTTTCATGGCCGTGACGAGGGATTTTGACTCGCTTATACCCGTACTAGCTCATGCTATGGTTGGTATAACCGCCACTGCTGTCTCCAAAATAAGACGAAACCTTGCGAGAGGAACAAATAAATGCACACACACACAGATGTCATGGCTTCTATGCTACCCGGGGGACGCTATTTTTTATCCTTGTTTCGCCCCCATTTATTTAGTCCGGGCTTTCGGAGGTGCCCACCAAAGCCTGGTCGAGAGAAACAAAAGCTACGAACCTCCGTGTCGTCGTCCACTTCTTCTATTCTCCCTTCAAAGATGACCAGTGGGTCCCGAGAGAACAGGTGAGCGATGTGCTTCGACAAAGCCTGCACCAGAACACAAAAGGAGGCGAGTAGGGAGACGGGGAGGGGCGTACGTACTCATGCCACCTTGGTTGTTAGACCAGTCCTCGAGAGGACGGGGCATTGTTCCCAGAGGACCAATCACCGATGAGAAGGAGTGGGGCGCCAAAAACGCCAAGTCCAATAGTTTCGGTCCGAGTTCTCTTTGCGACAAGCAAGAGCACCCCGGCTTCTGTCTTAACTTTTCGTCGCCACAACTACAATCAAGCTCATCGTTGCTGCGTACCCTCCCAACTGCTGCGGTTCTCCACCTCTACCCGCTGCATTACCAAGGCCGTGGTTGCGTATTAGTTGGACAAGCACGGACGACGAGAGGCACGACATGGGGAAGAAGGTTAAAGGAGACGGTTGACCCTTGGGAAACCTCCGTTCGATTCTTCCATCTCAAGCGACCGCCAACCTGTGAAGGCGTGTACCCACCTCCCTTATTTTCACCCACTTGAGCCCCTCGAGAGGGTAGACTGCTTGCCAAACAGGAGCCCAGAAGCAAGGCATGAAACAAAAAAAATCACAAAATATCCATCGATTCCCCGAAGAGGGGTCGCAACCCGCAGATCTCCGACAGCAGAAGCAACAACAACAACAGCAGCGACAGCGACACAACAACAACAATAACAAACTCCGACGCTGCTAAACATCAGGGGACAGAGGTGACAGCGACCAACAACAAGCAAAACAAACCCAAACGCTGCGAAAATCAGGGGACCCACCGAGTCTATCCCCTTCTTGAGCAGCGCCTGTCGGGAGGGCTCGTCCACCGGGCAGTCAATGTCGTTGTACTTGTTCACCACCCGACACCTGTCCGTGCCCGTCCGACAGTTGTATATGAAGGTGCTGATGGAGTCGTACCTTCGGTTATCACGCAGAACGGAAGGCGCGGCGGCGGTGAGACCGAATCGTCAGAATAGGGCGGGGGGGGGGGGGGGGGGGGGGGGNGGGGGGGGGGGGGGGGGGGGGGGGGGGGGGGGGGGGGGGGGGGGGGGGGAGGGCGAACTCGTGCTTGCACGCCTTAGTGGTATACCACTGACCTGATATGTAGACACAACACACAAACACAGATGGACTGCCCGTTCGAAAGCACAGAGGGGGTCCCTCTTTAGTACATGGTATGTGCCTGGGAATCCACCGGCACACTGACAATTACTTGGACATATAAGTGTCAACGGCACAAGACCGGGCATTGGAACTAAACAGCGACCCCCACAGCGTAAGCACAAGCCCAAGGGGATCTGTTCAAGTCTTGACAGTGAGCGAGAATAAATCGGCCGGATACTGGGCATATTTTGAGTGTGGTTGCTTCTCTTCTTGGTTGGACAACGGCAACTGCTCTTTCGCCCCAGTCGCATCGTACCGACCAAAGCAGCACATACATGTGTGACCCCGGTTGGGTCGTCTAGCTAGTAGAGGTGGAGGATAGGGGCCAGAGGGGCAGACGACAGAATCCAATTATGGGAGAAAAAAAAAACAAGGAAACGGCTGCCCCAGACCTGATGGCCGAGGCGTGCAGCAGGGTCGGGGATGCGGGGTGATCGCACAACTAGACAGACCCCCGCACACCAAAACTATCGACTTGGCGACCGCAGGACATCATCCCCCACGCCCCCCAAAGTCTCCGAGGTACCACTTGCTACTGACCAAACCCTGCCAACATACGCCCCACCAAACCTATCGACTTGACGACTGCCCGTATTCCCCCAAGCCCCCGAAAGTCTCCCGGGTACTTCCTACAGAACTAAAGGTCTCCAACCCAAGACTCTTGCAACGACTCTGAGGTGAAGGCTCGCGGCCGCCGCCATCAACACTCCGAGCGCGCCCCGCTCTGGTTTTCACCGGCTTTTCGGCTGCCGCTGCGTGCGAGGAGCTTTCTCGTCGTCTTTCAGGAACTCCCCGACGTCGAGCTCGCCCAAGAGAGGCTCTTCTTTGGGCCTCATCTCATCCTCCGTGCGGTCGTCCACGGAGGCTGAGATGGTGTCCCACCGCACGTCCGTGTCGGCGAGGCGGCCTCTTCTCGGCCAAACGAGAAAGACAAAAGCAGCAGCAGTAGCAGCAGCAGCAGCAGCAGGGTACGGCAAGTTGAGTGAGGGTTGCGTGTGTCGGTGCGATGCAACAAACAGCATAGGTGTACTCGCTTTGGTGTGTTGAAGCGATGTAACAACAACACAGCAGGGTGCGGCAAGTTGTGTGAGGGTTGCGCGTCGATGCGATAGGATGACAGCACGGAAGGATGCGGCATTCTCGTGTGGGGGCTTTGTGTCGGTACGACAGAACAGCAGCACAGCAGGGTACGGCATTGTCGTGTGAGGGTCGGTTGGTCGATGCGATAGAACAGGGGCACCGCAGGTATGCATAATGTGAGGGTGGGTGTGTCACACAGGGAGCGCCATGTATGGTGAGGGTGTTTGCGATGGTGGTGTGTTGGTGCAGCACAAGACCGGCACAGGTTGGGCCACGTGCGTGACCGTACACAGCAGCACAGTACACCGCTAAATAGGACGATAGAGAACTGTTTCGGCTTGCCCCAGCCCTCTCTTGACTCTATCCTAGCCGCCACTGCACCTGTGGATGGGGGTGGCCGCGCTAAGGGCAAGCATGATGGGGCTCACGACTGCCAGCTGGTCGAACATGTATCGCGACTCCTCGATGTCTCTCGCCTAAAGAGTACACGCACAGGCGAACAGCAGCGGTGGTCGATCCATAAATACCACCCGGTCATGACCGATCGTCATACCACAATTTTGCAACATCTGTTTCCGTGAACAGCAGCGTCCCGATACACATATACTAGCGTAGACATTGTGTGCATCATAGCTACCGTAGCATATTTATGAGCTTATGATACCTGTTATGATACTTGATTGATACCGCACCTCCTGTTAAGGTTATACTTATCTCGACTGATGATAGTCCTAGAACCACGATGTGATGAGCATAACTGATACGCCACACACCTCTGGCCGATTTGATGCGTACCTCAACTGGAAAACGCCCTACGGTATGATACACGAAATAAAAGTCTGGTCGAGGCTATGCACTTCTCTACTGACAATGATAACGTCTTCCTTGCATGACATGATAAAGTCTATTTGACATAACAGACATCTGACCGAGGCTACACTCATCTCAACTGAAACAAATTCCCGACCGCAGGATGACGTGACACACCTATGGTTGAGGCTAAACATATCTCACCTGACACTAATAGCCTCACCGTAAGATGTGAGAAGTCTACAGTACAGTAGAGGGACCTCAATAGTGAAGGTTGAACAGTGCAGGTGCCTGGTATAGTGCCGGTGAAATGTGCGGACACGGATTTGAGCTGGTACGCCAAAACCTATTCTCCATCCTGCACAGTGCAGGTGCCCAGTATAGTGCAGGAAAAATCTCTGGACACCCCCCCTACAGAATAGAGGTCCCTCGACTGTCGTCGACATCTCACACACACGCGCACCTGGAAGGTGACCTGCAGACAGCAGCAGCCCATCCCGAACGCCATGGCATCCATGTGGATGGTCGGTCGTGGCGGGGGCTCCGTCCCCTCGGTTGGCGGGGGCTCGACCAGAAACTCCGGCGTGCGCTCGTCCTTGTACAGCGGAATCTGGATATCCACCTGATTACGTCAAACAAGCGAACGAAAAAAAAGGGGGTCAGCAATGCCTTGCACCTCTTGCAGTGCGATCTGGATCTTTAAACATTCACTTGATTGCAACGAGTGGAAAAAAAAAAAAAAAAAAACGCCTGACACCACCACGACGAGGACCTCGTTCGGTCATCGCCACATAGAACACGATGGGGTGCATACTTGCTTCTGCTCATTGTTCATCCAAACGGTCTTGAACGCATAGGATGGTGTTGTTTTTATGAACAATGCAAATTATATTCAAGAACACCACCCCCGCAGGAAGCATAAATTTAGGGGTTCATCAGCTGGGAAATACTTCAAAAGACTGCGCATGCGCACGATACATTTTCTCCCTCGTGAGGCCAATCATCGTGGGAGACATGCATAGATAATCCAGCGTCACAAAAAACTAACCAAAGATTGTGTTGTGATAGCTGAGACGACGTGATTGTCTCGTTTCGTGTGCTTCGGTGTTTGCGGCAAAAAAGCACAACATTCAGAGAGATGCACAAGATGGCCACCAAACTGTCTTATTGAGCCTGTTACCCACAGGGAGACAACGCCGTGTGCTGCTCGGGAAATCGTGGAAATACAGGGAGCCGTCGCTGACGCTATTGATTCATTGCTAATCTATGTATCTTAAGACTCTTCGCGTCGAAATGAATTCCTTGGGTCATATTAGCAAAAAAAAAAAAAAAGATGCACAAGGAACGTGCACAGCAAATACACAACTTTCAGCGGTAACAACCGACGAAAAAATACGAAAAAGCGAAGGATAAAATACAACAAAAATGACGAAAAAACACAAAAAAACGCAAAAAACGCAAAAAAACGTGTCAAGAACCCACGTCGTTGATCCACGAAGTACGCAACACGAAGAAACGAAGGACTAAAATCGAGAAAACGGGGAAAAAACGGAACGGAACAGAGATATAATGCAAAGCAAAAAAAAAAAAAATCAAGAATAACAAGCCTTAAAACAAAACCAAAACGCCGTTTGGTCTCACCTTCCTCCCTCGCCTCTCCCGGATGTTCTTGGTGAGCGCCGCGAACCTCGGGTGCGGGTTGATCACCGAATCCGGGACGAACTTCGACTGCGCCGTCGGGCCCCCCACCTCTGCCGGAGGGGTGGTGAAGTCTCCCACTCCGAACAGGGGGAAGTTCGTCATCTGGGAGGCGGGGGGGGGGGGGGGGNGGGGGGGGGGGGGGGGGGGGGGGGGGGGGGGGGGGGGGGGGGGGGCACCGCAAGTTGAAGCCGATTTCGTTCATTGTTCAGCCGTACATCTTTAGATTTTACACACACGCGTCTTGTCCACGGGGGGGGCAGTCGGGGTAAAGCCCGCGGAGTGAGAAAGAGTTTCTCCTTTTGCTTTTTCTGCTATTATAATAGTAGGAACATGGCATTATTTCATTGGTCAACCCGTAAACACGGCCTGCGCTGTCGGCCATGTACTGTGTCGCTCAATAAATGCAACACGCATACCGAAAGCACAGCAACCAAAATATATAACAAAAAGAAAAAATAAAACGATATTTTCCACGTTGACCTACAACTTTCTGAATTTCCTGCTCACGCTCTCACGGAGAGGCATTTCGCCAAAACCTAAACACAGTACAGCACCACTCCCCTTGCTACGACGCGCCATGAATTAGGCCAGCCCCCTCAACCCCGATCCCATTCCGGATGGATGCCGCGCGGGAACATCCAGATCGATCCGCGTCGCTTCGCGATCCGTACCGTGGGAGAAATCTCGTCGTCTGCCAGGGTAGCCAGCAGCCTCTTCCTCCTGAGGCGCATGTTCCTCTCGACGCGAGCGAGGTGGGTCGTGAGGCCCCGCAGCGGCACCTTGGGGGTACCCTCCAGCATCCAGGAACCGTACTCTGGCATCCACTGGCACCCTTCGGACCGGTACGCGTGCTCGTCCTCCCTAGACCACGAGCGACGTAAAAAAAAAAAAAACGCAAAATTCATTGGACGCCACCACACACCCCCGACTGATTTTCCAAGCTCCGTGGTGTGTGTTTCTTTTATCGTTTTTATTACCATTCAGGTTGGGGGACGCCATAAACCTATGGGTGCGTTTGTTTTGTTTTTCGTACTGTCCAGTTTCGGGTGCGCCTTGTATGGTTTTGGCGGAGAGCGTGTAACGTGTCCAACGCTTTCCAACATCGACGCATGCACATCATTCCTTGTTGAGAGGTCTCTGCTAGTAACAAAGCAGCCACACTACTCAACATTCAGCGGGGGAGCTTCCGACTTTGTGCCATGACTGCCTTTCGATGTCAACGCACACACCTCATATTGTGTTGAGAGATCACGATCGACAATACAAAAAAAAAAAAAACACTTCCCTTAGGGACGCAGTGAACAAGTGGCACCAGATGCTGATCACCCGCGTCGTTGCGTTTGTGGGACCCTTGGCCTAGATACAACCACTGTTGGCGTCGTACGAGACCGTTGGTCGAGTGTAGATACGACACCGCTACGGGAAACGCCTGTGCGTTCCCGACAAGGCTGTGTCTGTTGTATCGCAGACAAGCACCCTTGACCTCGACGTGTTAGCGAAGCGCATCGAGAGGACAGCAACCATACAACCATTTCTGGGAGGCTATCGGTCATTGGGAGGGTGGGGGTGCCTTGCTGCAGGTCTGGGCTGGTTTGGCACCCTGGATCGCCTGAATACGTCGGCGGCATAGCCCGTGGACTATTGAGTGGCACGGAAAAAAAAAAGAAGTATTATAGATTGTGTGCTTTAACGGCAACCAGTCTGAGTCACATACATACATACAACGCCGGTCGCCCCGGTGGTCTAGTGGGTAACCTCGCAGCCTGCTAAGGGCCAGGTCATAGGTTCGAGTCCCGGCAGAGTGAGTTTTTTCTCATTAAGTATATCCTGGTCTAGGATGAAAGCGACGCGCTGCAAAGCTCGTTGTTAGTAAAACATAATCGACTTCGTAAGTCGCGAGGGAAGGGATTGCTGTACCCTTCTCGCGATAAAAATACCTCAGGCAGGAACCGCAGGAGGAGGTCCAGCCCCCTCCCTCCTATGTGACCCCGGTTGGGTCGTCTAGCTAGTAGAAGTGGAGGATAGGGGCCAGAGGGGCAGACGACAGAAATCCAATGATGGGAGAAAAAAAAAAAAATACACCGGTCGCCCCGATGGTCTAGTGGGTAGCCTAGCAGCCTGCTAATGGCCAGGTCATGGATTCGAGTCCTGACAGAGTGAGTTTTTTCTCGCTAATTTAATCCTGGTCTCCGTTGGAAGCGACGCGCTGCAAAGCTCGTTGTTAGTAAACTTGACCGACTTCATAGGTCGCGAGGGAAGGGAGATTGCTTGCTGTACCCTTTTCGCGATAAAAACATCTCAGGCAGGAACCGCAGGAGGAGGTCCAGCCCCCTCCTTCCTATGTGACCCCGGTTGGGTCGTCTAGCTGGTAGAAGTGGAGGATGGGGGCCAGAGGGGCAGGCAACAGAGTCCAATGATGGGAGAAAAAAAAAATATATATATATATATATATACGCAAGCCTGGCCTCAACCTGTAGAAAAGGGCACACAAGCGACAGAATGAACAAAACACAGATCCCACAGACACGAGCAACATAGCACACGGAGAGGAGGCCACACTCTACAGAGATGGTCGATACGTCGCATTCACAACAAAGTATTTCTTCCGCCAAAACGGAATATGATGCTCGGGTGCGAGCTACATACGATGTGGTGAACAAAAAAAAAAAAAAGGCCGGACCTGGACTACTCTGCGAACAGCGGCAAACATGATAACAAATAAGAAAATAAGTAAAAGAGCACCTGGTTTGGAGCTCCTTGACCACGTCGGCCGCCCTTGTCGAGATCCTCACGCGCTTGTTGGCGTGGTCCACCTTAAGGATGGCGTATTCCAGCTAGATTCACGTAGCAGCAGCGGCGGAAGCCGAAGCGGAAGCAGCAGCGGCATGACAGCGATGCGTAAGACTTACAGTCGCCCAAGCTTGACGTTTTTCTCCGAAACAAGAATCTTGGAATCGGGGACTTATCCAAAAAAGCGGAAAACGTCTCCGGAAAACCCGCACCAACTTTCCTGTTTTTGCACTCTGGGGGGAACCATGATTGTGGAAGAAAACGGTGTCCATGAAACGGGGAGTGTGCGCCGCTCATGTTGGTGTCGTTAATCCGGGGGCGACTGTTAGCCCCTGCCGCTTCGCAACGAGAAACATCAGCGCAGTTGGGTACAGTACTCGAGCTGTACCAAGCCGGGCATTCGATCAAAGTCGAGAGCAAGTCACTCACGTCATAGCTGGATGCTACCGGGCCTTCCCGTGGAAGCAAGAGTTGAATACGGGGACTGCGTCCACCCAGGAATGGTGAAAATGGCCTACACCGTGCTCCTTCCAGCACACAAACACAACAAACCGCAGACGGCGAACAAAAGACATGCGCGTGCTCTGTCTCTCGAGGGGCCCCGCACTTGGACCCCCAACAGCATACCCCCCCCCACACACATGTTTCCAGATCGCGTCTCGATCCACGCAGATAGCACAAACATGTCTTCGACTTCCTCGCTGCTGCATCTCGTAGCACTGCGGACAAGGTCGGTGCTCGATATAGCGCAGCAGCGGCAGATAGCGTGGACCCGAAAACCACAGCCACAACGACGAGGCAGCATCACACCACGACACCACCAGCGACACCAGCGGCAGCTGCAGTGCTACCCATCGCCTTCCACGACGCGACGCCGCTCAACCAAAGTCCACGACTTCAGGAGGGCAAGATAAGCGGAGTAGCTTCTCAGCAAACCGCGCGATATGACAAAAAGAAAAAAACTAACTGTACTCGAGTAGTGTACGGGGAGGCAAAACAATCAGAGTAGCTTCCCATGTGAAAAAAAAAACATCCAACTGCACTCGACTAGCGTCAGGCACAAGAGATACGATAGTGAGAGTGACCAAAGGCACAAGCGATATGATAGTGATCATGAAAAGGGCACACGGACATGATGGTGATAGCCAACTACCTCGTCTCCCCACTTGAGCAAGAGATATGATAGTGATAGTGAAAGTGATAGTATCCTGCCTCGTCTCCCCACTTGAGCAAGAGATATGATAGTGATAGTGAAAGTGATAGTATCCTGCCTCGTCTCCCCACTTGAGCAAGAGATATGATAGTGATAGTGAAAGTGATAGTATCCTGCCTCGTCTCCCCACTTGAGCAAGAGATATGATAGTGATAGTGAAAGTGATAGTATCCTGCCTCGTCTCCCCACTTGAGCAAGAGATATGATAGTGATAGTGAAAGTGATAGTATCCTGCCTCGTCTCCCCACTTGAGCAAGAGATATGATAGTGATAGTGAAAGTGATAGTAACCTACCTCGTCTCCCCACTTGAGTTCGTCGTTCTCTATCCCCTCCACCTTCCGGTACCGAGACACGAACTGCTTCACCCCGTGGTCCCTGACCATCATCGGTTATCATGGCGACATCGCAAAGGGCAACCACCCGCTATCGAGTGAGGAGGGGAGGGGGGCCATCGTCGTTTATCATGGCGACATCGCAAAGGGCAACCACCCGCCATGAATGTGGAGGAGGATGTCATCATCATTGCAACACCCGCAACGGATGGGGAAAGCAATGTATGCGTGGACCATGGAAAGCACAACATCCAGCTTACGACATGCTACAAAAACACAAATACCCTACGTTGGTTTGCACCAAAGGAGGGCAGGGGGGGGGGCAGCGAACGGCGTCGGGTATGACTGAAGATGGTTGGAAACGGGAGAATTCTAACATTCTGCAACAATTCGTGATAGAGCGGTGGAACCACCTCCTTGCAAAGGCACTCTTCGACATATAAATATTTCTCTCTCTCTCTCTCTCTTTCTGTATTTCTCTCCCTCTCTGTATCCCCCCCCCCCCCTCTCTCGTCTCTCCCAGCATGTTGCACCCACTCTCTCGCCGCCCGCAGGAGCCGTGCTTTGTCGCCTTACTGGTTGGTGTCAGAAACAGCAATCAACAGCCTAACCACATACAGTTTATCCAATGACGTGCACAAAGACCACCCACGTGCTACACGTTGTACACATCAGTTTGACAACTTAAAAATATGTATCGACCACAACCAAAACCACAACACCAACAACACCACATGTTGGTCAAACGAGACACGCGCTCCCTCATTCTCACCGCACGTATCCCAGGTGCGGCATCGCCTGCCCCCACGGCAGGGGCGTCCCAACCCGCAGTAGCCCCGCCTCCCCCCTGCCCGCCGCCACCAGCAGCAAGCACGCCGTGCTCCTAGCGGTAGCAAGAACGGACGCCTTGGGCGGAGACGACGAAGACGACGACATGACACGTGCCCGTGGTCTTTGCTGCTGCAGCTGCTGCGGGTGTCTCCTCCGTCGGGTTGCCGTTTGCAGCGACGACCACTCTTCGCCTGGTCGCGGCCGTGGGGCAACCCCCCCCCCCCGTCCCAAGACGCTTGGCCCGCGGGGCCGCCGCCGTTTTCCTGCCGTCCTCGTTCCGCGGGCCACAGCGCCTCCTTCTCCCTCCAAGCGCATCGTTTTCAGCCAGCTAATAGCCCACCCTATCAGGCGAACCAAAGCCAAGGAGAGATGTCTGTCGTGCGAGCCTATATTCTCGCTGAAAATTTATTGCGTGATTCGTCACCACAATGATTCGTTGAACGCAGACGCGGCACAAACGCCACCCCTCTTGACGCGGCGCGGCAACCGAGGACGCCTGGCTCGCACCAATTGTGCGCCCGCGGAAGTGCCGCGCGACTCCTCTCCCCCTGCTGACGGCAACAAAACGGAGTGAGCACGTGGCGATAGGGAGGGAGAAAAGGGATAAGGGTGAGAGGAGTGTTTTTTTCCCCACACAGCAGCGAACGAGGAGTTTGCCTCGTTGGACTTGCTTACGGGGAGTTGTTGCTGTGACAGCGACTGAAACAAAACAGCCAAGAGTGCGCTTGTGCCGCGCAACGGCTCAATTGCTGACCGGCGGGCCGGTGGATTTCTTGCGCAAAGCAGCAAGCGAGGGAGAGCGAGTGAACACCGGGCGGGGTAACGCCCGTGCTGCAACAGCCGGAACAACAGCGACCGACAAAGTCGCGCAGGCTTTGACACTACGGCAGACGGCCCACACGGCCGCTGCTTGTTACTAAGGGCTACGGTGGTATCCCGTTACCGTGCGGAACATAAGGCACGCCTCCGGGTGAGTTCATCAGAGGATAGTAGTAGGTGGGGGCATCCAGACGTGATGTAAGACGCAAGCAAAGCACGTGTTGGTGGGAATCAACAGCAAAGTGCCATGAGTGACGTTTCCCAAGCTCCAACAGCCCAGACAGCTGACGTGTTGTCCACTGGAACAGCCCAGCGAACATCAGCAACCAAAAGAAAACACGAGGCTACCCACTAGACCACCGGTCGCCCCGGTGGTCTAGTGGGTAGCCTCGCAGTCTGCTAAGGGCCAGGTAATGGGTCCGAGTCTCGGCAGAGAGAGTTTTTTTCTCACTAAATAAATCCTGGTCTAGGATGAAAGCGACGGGCTGCAAAGCTCGTTTGTTAGTAAACCATAATCGACTTCGTAAGTCGCAAGGGAAGGGATTGCTGTACCCTTCTCGCGATAAAAATACTCCAGGCATGAACCGCAGGAGGGGGTCCAACCCCCCCCTCCTATGTGACCCCGGTTGGGTCGTCTAGCTAGTAGAAGTGGAGGATGGGGGCCGGGCCAGAGGGGCAGTCGACAGAGTCCAATGATGGGAGAAAAACAAACAACAAAAAAAACAAAAACACAAAAAATAAGTTGATGACGACAAGATACACACCCCGATACGCGCTTGCTGCGCAACCACATAAGGGTGCAATAATAGTACACCCGACAAACCGAGTTCCCCTAAATCTTCCGTCTACAACTTCCCAACTTAACATACAGATAGATACACAAGATGGCTACCAAACTGCCTTGTTGAGCCTGTTACCCAATGTACTACGGTGCAATACAGATGGCGCTCGCACTGAAGAACTTAGCAGTTAAGAAATGCAGCCTCGATAAATTAAAAATTAAAAACTTGACCATGTAAACACGTGCTTAGTTCCGATGTGGTTTTAAGAACAAGAACCCGTATTTGTGGTGTAACCCGTATTTGTGGTGTGCCAAAGCGCTTACGGATAAGAACAGACCCTCCAAAAGTGGCGGAGTGACTCACGGGGTGTCCGGTGACCCCACCGATGGTTCGGGAATCTCCGCGAGGCATTTTAGACTCGAATTCTCGGGAATCCTGACAATCCAGTCAAATAATCCAGGAACCTCGAGTTGAAATGAACGTCAACTACAAACAAAATATAGCCGGAACTCGCCGCAACTCCCCGCACGGAGCCCATGCGTGTATTTTCGTGGGCCCTCAAAAACGAACGCCGTAATGCCCCCCCCCGAATCCACCGGCCCTTTTCAAAGTACACAATGACGTGATTCAGAATGTGCCCACAAGCAACTTCACGGGCGATCTACACGGCAACCGGCGGGATTCAAGCCGACGTTGTTTTGAGCCCCTTTCTGTTGCTGACATTTGTTGTCATTCGCGCAAAATCACTGGTACAAGGTGGGTAAAAAGCAAGATGAGACACACACACGCCGCCGTGGACACATCTGAACGACAAGTGGACAAGAGGAGGGGCGGAAAGTAGCTCAGGAAAATCTCGACAAATATGGCGCGTACGCAAAGACTAGACACCATTCCGTATTGGTAGCATACGCCCTGTGGTATGCATCCGCTGTTTACTGCATGCACACCGCGACCTCCACTCAGTCATCGAAAGAGAGGGGTGTAGCACAAACGCACGTGTGTCTGGGATGCATGTTTCGAGGTGCGTTCTTTGGAGAAGATACCGCGAACGGTTTCTAGGGGGGAGGCGGAAGAGGTGGGCTCCATGTTTGCACGTAGGCAACAGCAACAACAAGCGAAGAGGACGCGCCATCGAAGCAAGCACGCACCCCCAGCCTGCCTCTCTGTTCGTGTCAGGGCCATGCGGGTCCCGTTGAATTGCCGGTCATGCTGGAAACGCGAACATTATCGGCTAGTGAGAGCTCCACGCCCTGTGCTCCCGACGACCCACAACAAACGCAAAATGAGCTCGCTACAGAAACCCTCCACAGCGTCGCCGGCTTGAACCAGCCAAACGGGGAGTGCTACCTTGAGTGTCAAGCGTCGAGCAGACCCTGAAATATCGGCCACAAGAAAGGTTCGTACGCCACACCCGCTTGCAGCTGTGACTCCGCGTCAACGCTACCCTCACCCGTCGCGCTCTCCAGATCAGCAGCCCAGTCCCTGAAGGCTCCACGTGTGTACTGTGTGCCCTCCCAGTTCGTCGCTAATCGTCACCGCAGCTCTCCTAATCGTCAACGGCGCGTGGCCCCGTGGCCTGCTGTGTCAACCAGATGGGGGGGAGACGCAGCATCCAACGGAAATGCTCCGAGTGGGGTCCGAGTGCGTGTTTGTTGCTTCCAGCATCAATCCACCAATCACGAGGGAGAGCGGGCCAATTGCGCCGCCGAACGCTTCTTGAACCATGTAACCGTAAATGTGAACCATGCACACTTCGATGACGCCCAATAACATTGCACCGGCTTGTACCATCAGCCAAGCGAGCTGCGCATGCATCTACGTAGGAAGCGGTGTAAGAAAACGGTTAGGTAGGGCAGCCAGGAAAGAGGATATTTACAGGGCCACTTCTTCGCCCTTGAAGTCTGTGCTTACGTGTAGACTAAAACGCGGTTGGCGACGTGTCGTGTAGAGTTCGCAATCCTGTCGTTGTGAAAGGGGGGCGCAACAAAAGTGGACGGCCGTCGTCGAAAGGCATCTGATACTATTACGACACTTTCAGGAAGAGGAGGAGGAGAACAAAGGAAGGAGGACTAATGTCTCTCGCAGCTCGGGAATCAGGCTCGTTGACAGGGACGAGCGCCAACCCAGTAGGTCCGACGAGAGCGGGCGTGACCCCCACGCTTTCGAGGGAAACGCTGCGGTGGGTGCAGAGCTTGGACCTGGCCTACTCCGTCAAGAACGTCAAGCGGTGAGGTGTTGGCCCAATTCCCTGACGAGCCGATCCAGCAAACGCTCGTGTTTGAGAGGTCGGCCAGATGATCCGACGTGCAATATCCTACATGATGACTCCTGTATGCATACAACGATGACATTTTGACTCTGCAGGAGTAGACTGCGTATCGCAGCCCTCAGTCGCAATGACTGTTTTACAGGTCTTCAGGGCATTAGCGTTATCGGTCGGGAATGGCTACTGTAGTGCTTCAGCAGAAATTACTCGCGTGTGGCATTCACTATCGAACACACGGCCAATGTCTAGTCTAGAGCTTGTAAACGTCAGGAGGCGGTACTGCTGTAGCCGTCCTTCGGCGACAAGACCAATCCGTCTGAATCACGAAACCAGGACAGCCAACATACATCGAAGTACAAAAACGTAACGACCTACACACCAGCAACCATGTGAAGCAACAGCAGCAGCGAACAACCACAGAAGGAAGCAACCATTCCAAACAGAGGCCGCATGAGCAAGCGAGCACCAGTACAATCTCCCCAGCGTACGACCGTGCCACTCACTGACTTGTGTACGCAATGCTCCGCATATAACTTCCAATCGAACGTGAAGCGATTTCTCTAATGGATTCCTTGTGGCCGAGATCTTCAGCCGGTACTACGACAAGGACGTCCGCATGCACGGTTTCGACAACGGAACAGCCACGAGGGTCAAGAGAGATAACTGGGGGCAGCTCACGAGGTTCTTCAAGAAGGTGCGTCCAGCATATGCGCGTTCTCTTGCGAAACTCCGTCGACACTCCTTGTGGTAAACACGAGAGACAGGCGACATGGGCTTGGGAGCATGGATTTAACATCACGGCAAAAACGCTCAACCTCTGCAACAACCAATCGTTGCGTCGTTCGGAATGAAACTTATCCACAACTCATGGTTTAGCACCAAGAGCTACGGACAAGGTGTAGAATGACTGGCTGTGCCAGGCTTGATCGAGCAGGCATTCGAATGGGCTCGTCCCGGGCCCGGACGCGGTCTGGTCGGTTTTCGATGTAGGGTGGCATCTTGCGGCCTTGACTGCCCCAAAAAGGCCAAAATAGCTTTTCTTCACGACCCTGTACCCCATACATACGCCAAGTATCGCTCATGGCACAAGTGAGCAAAGCGTCCCGAACACCGGGAAGATTGGTATTTGGTGCTTTCCTTCAAGTAACGCCTCTGCTTCTTGTAGAACCCAAGTGCGTACTTCGCGTTAGACGAAGCCCCTACTTCAACCGCCTTCTCTGGTCGCATCTCCAGGTGGGACTCTCCGACCTGACAACTCCCGAGGAAGTTAATGCCATAATTCTTGCGGAAGAGGGCGCCGTAGTAGCCTTCATCAGCCGTGCCTACGAGGTGAGCACATCCGTCGATTACGGCGATCGCTCCATAGATTTCCATCGCTTGTCCCACGTAACCTCGCTCACTGTTCCCGATGATCTGCGAGTGCCCCCCGTGCCGCTCAGACTCTTTCCCCCGCATCCATGTCTGATTACCCATGCGTGGGAAACTGGAGATATTGATTGACATCTCAACATCGCAGCTTCTCGGATGCAAGCCCGGCAGAGCTTATCGCGTGTCCACTGACTGCTATACAACGTACCTCGTGCTGTGAGTTGTCTTCGACGCGGACGACCGCCTCTCCCCGTGGGGGGCACAACGAAATCGAACGGCACACGCTTTTGTCAGATGCTTTCCAAGGGCGAGGCCGAAAATGCACACTATTAAAAATGCATGCGATGCAACCGACTACATCACATGGGATGCAGCGCACGCGTTTGCCAGAAACTGACCAAGGGCGAGGCCGAAAACGCACACTATTAAAAATGCATGCGATGCAACCGACTACATCACATGGGATGCAGCGCACGCGTTTGCCAGAAACTGACCAAGGGCGAGGCCGAAAACGCACACTATTAAAAATGCATGCGATGCAACCGACTACATCACATGGGATGCAGCGCACGCGTTTGCCAGATGCTGACCAAGAGCGAGGCCAGACACGCACGCTAAATACATACGAAGTACAATGCAACCGACTACATGGGATGCAGCCGGTGACGAGTCCTGCACGGCGGTGTATGTCGCTTCGCAGGTGCTGACTAGGCGCAAGGTGCAAGAGGTGGTCCGCCGCCCCCTTCCCGAGAACGTTCCCCCTTACGCGAGGTACGGCTTGGCGCCCGCACGTCATTCAACTCTTTGGCCAAAGTTGTGAAACCTGCGGCAGCAACGATCTACACATGGGGGATTTTTCATGGTGTTCAGGATAATGGTTCACTGGTAGAAATGGGGTCGGTTACATCCGTCAGTAGACATACGAGCAACTCAAGGTAAGCTTGCTGCAAAATATTCAGAGGGTTCGGAATACGTTCCTCGATTCCCTAAAACTACGCTGGGTGTACCACCCTTTAGGTAAGGGCTACGGGGGCATGTATGCCTAAGAGCAAGAAGGAAACACGGGGCTGATGGTGCCAACCCTGTGCGAGCCGCAGGAGATGGTGAAGGAGGCACGATTACACCGTTTCGGCTGCCTTGCGTGTGCCATCGAGGGTGTCAAGGGCAAAGCACACCGCTTCGGGAGCACGGACTACACACCCTTTCAGTCATGAATTTGATCATCTCGAGTCGGCCACACGTTCACTGCAGCGCAAGCGATCTGCCGTCAACCTCGAGCGCCTTCATCTAGAGCGACTACTGTCCTGTTGTCATCACGCTATCCCGTAATAGTGACAACCGTCGTGTTTTTGAACGTTGACCGATCGTTTCACCTATGGGTGTGGGACCGTGCGCATGATCCCAGAGGCACGGGGCTGCAGGTAGTGCGGACGGCGCTGAAGGGGGCCGAGCTTTCGGACGTGGAGGATGAAACCATCCAGAGAGCTGCGGCGCGGACAGAAATGAACAAGTAAGGAGTGCTGGCGTGTACAGGACGTAGTGCACAGAACGGCATGGGCGCTGTGCCAGTCAGCGCGTGCACAACAAACAAGCATGCGTACAGAAGACAGTTTGCACCTGGCGATACGTGTTGAACGGCGTCAATACTCACAGAGCGACGGCCGAGAGCCCCTTGCACCAGCGAAGAGGCGCCAGCTGGGTTTCAGCTAGTGCATGCGAGCATTGTTGCTCCTCAGTTCTCAGGAGACGAGCCGCTCCAAGGAAGCACTTGGCACCCGTTGTAGCTTCCCTGAGTGTTTCTCAGTCGAATCCGCCAAGGATGAAACGACGAAAATAAACGAGAGTGAACAAACACCTCGTGAGAAAGGTTACGCACAGGATAGAACGTCGAAGGCATACCCCCTTCCTCCTTAACATTGCCCGATGACACCACAATACCAATTCTACTCGCCCTGCGCGTCGATCTACGTATTTCCGCCTGACATCTACGAACGTAATATTGAGCGCTCACGAGTCGAGCAAGTCTGAACATGTGCAGATTGAGTACACTGGGCGATGATGCTCGTCCGCCTTTGCTTTCCGCGTTCTTCACCGCTACACCGTCGTGGTTATGCACCGTCGCGCATCGTGACGACGTAGATACGTTGATACGATGATCTCCTAGAGGACCAGCACGGTTGCTCGAGGCAAGCTGCGATGCCAATTTTAAGCTCATGTATCGAGCGAGTCCGAAGAAGCCCGGCTCACACACTCGCTGAGGTGCACACACACCCCGTCCTTGACCCTTCTTCTTTCGTGGGGTGGAGGGAAGGTACGAGACGTTCCTGCAAGAAGAGCGCAGCCACCCGGACCCTGACCGATTCGGCACGACCCCCAGCAGCAGAATACGACGGGGGCCCCCGAAGCGAGTAGAGAGTGAAAAGGTGACCGGCCAGAGGAAAGAGAGTAGGTTTGCACAGGTACCCTCACACCCTGGACCGATTGTCAAGTCTCGAGTACTCAGCAGTGACGGTGCTGACAGTGGAGGCGTCTCGTCGAGAACTTTCCCAGAACTTTACATTTGGTTGGCACCCTCTTCGTCGAGGGGCCCAATTCCCTAGCCGAAGTCCATGCGGCCGGATTACGCACCACAACAGATGAGCCAGACTCTCCCAACCTGCTAGTTTTATTGGCTGGTCTTCTAAGAAATCTCGCCCCGAAACGTCACGTAGAATCTCGCCGAAACGTCACGTAGATGCGAAAAAAAAACTCAATCGGCCCGGTTCCCATCCCGCTTGTCTTGCCCGCATGGGCCCCGACATTACCAACGTCCAAACCACCGAGCCCGTCCGACACGGTTCCCGTCGCGCCTTTTTTAAACCTCGCTTCATCAGGTGGAACTCCCGAAAGTGTCGGTCCGAGAGATACAGGTGAAGCAGGTGGACCGGAACATCGCCCATCTGCGTGCGAACCAAGACATGGCGTCGGGAGCGGGAAG